CCAGGACAGGGCAGTGTTTTGTTCTCTTGTTCATAGGGTCTTTGATGGCACCTAACAACAACAACAACAATTACAGCTGGCCATGAGCTCAAAAGGAGTCCTGGTGTGGTGCTACAAGATAAGCACTGGACTGCTAACCATAGGGTTGGTGGTTTCAAACCCACCAGACGCTCCTTGGAAAGTCTATACAGGGTCTCTGTGAGTTGAACAAAGTCACTGAACAACAAGAGGGAGCTAACAATAATAGCTAAGCTAGATGCAAACATTTTCTTAACAAGTCTGGAAGCTTGACCCCTCTCCCCCACCTCAAACACCAAGAGTCCTATTCTTCCTTCCCTGGCTATTTATTAGATCGTTTCTGAAGTTAATCCAGAATTTTCTATGTGTCATGTTTGTTGAAGGAGGACATACACAGTCAGCCTAGGAGGTAGAGTTTGGGACAGAAACGCTGAAACTTACTTAACGGCTTTGTCAATTGCTTGCAATGGGTTAATGTGCTGAACCATACGCTCGGTTTGAACTGCAAGGGTGATGATGGTTCAAGCTTGCCAGCTGCTCCTCGGAAACCCTATACAGGGTCGACATGAGTCAGAACCAACTCAACGGCACTCACAACAACAAGAGTCTTAAAAAGTAATACTTTCATTATATGGATTTCATCAAGACGATGACATCTAATGACTATTTCCTAACTGAAGAAATGGAAATATCCTGCTGCTTGTGCTTTAAGAGACAGCAGGATATGCCATATACCTGGGCATCTGGGCTATATTTCTTCAAAGACAGTTTTGTTCAATATCTTCAATATTCAGTATCTTTCACCAAAAATGCATTTATTCTTCAATCATCCTTACTCACTTCTCCACCTTCCCATGTATATGAGGCAAGTGAAAACGCAGTGGCGTGGGTCGAGTGCATCTTAATCCTCAAGGTGACATCTCGGCCTGTTTTACTCTTCATTGGATTTTTCTACAAACATCTATGCAAAATCCACATATGAGGGTGATGTATAGATTTAAAGGAAGCCCTCCAGAAGTACAGCCAAGAACTAGATGCCACTGAATTCTGGCAAAATGTGGTCCAGTACCACAAGATGATGCTACACACACACACACAGGTACACACTAAAAATTAGATGAGATTTTTATACTATCATCCAGAATGATTTCCTCATCTATATCTCAACACTGAGTAAGTTCATATCTAAATTTACGATATAAAAGGAATAGTAGAATTTGCTTTAAAGAGGTCCTTTGGGATGTATAAAGCAAATAATTGGGAAAAACAGAAAAATAAAGGGCACAGAAAGCCTAAAATGAGTAAGAATTGGGTCCTGCGGAAGTAATCCTAGCTTTATACTTTACTTCACCACAACCACATGGGCAGGCTCCCCACTGAAACACCAGGGTTAGGCTGCAGAAGGAAGCTTGGTGGTGCCGTGGGCAAGTTTGGGGTTGTTAACCCAAAGGTAGGCAGCTGAAACTCACCAGCTGCTCCCTGGGAGAAAGTTGAGGCAGTCAACTTCAGCCACAATTTGTTGTGTTGCTTTTGTTTAGTGTCATCGGTTCCAACTCAGAGATCTTGTATAGGGTTTCTGAAGAGCGGCTGGTGGATTTGAACCACCAATCTTGTGGTTGAAGCCGACATGGCAGTAGAATGCTTATCATACAGCTCCACACTTGAAAACCCCATGGAGCAGTTCCCCTCTGTCCTATAGGGACGCCGTCGACGGCAGTGGGTTGACGCTACAAAAGTCAGAATGAACTTTACTTTGCAGTTGTCAAATAATCAAGGCATAATTAATTCCTGGTGGGGCCACAAGGTCACGTTAAACTGCAAGGTCGGCGGTTCAAACTCACCAGTCGCTCCTTGGAAATCCTATACAGTGACAAGTTCTGCTCTTACCAACCACCTGCCTAGTTGAATTTTGTTACAGGGGCCCTTGGAGATGAATACAACAGGCAGGGTCACTATGGGCTGGAACCGACATACCGGCACTTAACAACAATTAAGAACGCCAACAATCTATAGTCCCTGCTCTTAGAAGCAGATCTCCGTGCATTTAGAGTTTACATGAAGAGAAATGTTAGTATAAATCTGTGCTATTTTTATGCTTGAAAAGACAAAAAAATAAAATAAAAGCAGTTACTGCAACAGGGATGGTCGTGATGCTTCTTAAAACCAAAGCTGCAGATATATAAACTTTTTTCTCGTTAGTTCCACGTACTTTGGGGAGGGATCCATCCTTGGAGTCTAATTGCAGAAGAATGTCTATGGAACAGCTAGCTCTCTGGAATGTATTTTAGAAATCTAGTGTTCACAGTGCTTACCCCCTAGAGAACTTTAGAAAGGCCAGTTATGAACATGAAAATTTTTCCTCCAGAAGGAAAAGCTGCCCCATGTAATGTTGTAAATTACACGACATTTCCCCTATCCTTTACAAAGTATGCCAAGCTTAAGTGGGTCTGCAGGGGACAGTAGTTGTTAAATCGCCTCAGTCAAAAATTTCCTTTTTCATCGTCATTTATGAAACACATTAGTAACCAGCGCCTGAATAAACTGCTCACCACGGATAAAGGAACGAGGTCCCGGTTAAAACACCTGGACCGCTTCAATCACAACTTCAGTATAATCACCAGGAACCACGGAGCTTCAGAATATTAAAATGGGAACATATGATCCAAGCAAAATTTTGGATGAACCTCAAGCACCAATTGAGTTTGGAGGTTTGGAATCTAACACGTAACAGAGTGTGCACTGAAAAGCCACTGATTCTGCCTGCTGCTGCTCATTAACAACATCTATTTGGGCACGGAATGTACCCGAGCCAGGCACAGTGCCCTTAGCCTTAAACTGGGCATACTCATATTCGTGTGGCTGTAAGAAGGAGTTGGAGAAGCAGCGATAAGACTTCCATTTCTTGAGTTTGCTCTGGGCCATGCAAGAAGAGACGATATGGTGAACTAGGAGCACCCTTCTTTCCTGACGAGGGAGCTGAGGGTTAGAGATAGGTCACGTGTGTGGAGGGTTGCAATCCACTACTGCAGAACTTGACTCCAAAGCTTAGGACCTCACTCAGACCCCAAATGCATTTGCTTGTACCATCAAATTAGGTGATGCTGTAATTGTCACACTGTGCACAGCCAACCATTACGCTAGGACAATGTGTTATTGCTAGAATTCTTTCAGAGTCGTTAAAAGGTATTGTCTCAGGAATCCATAAGAATACTCTTAAGAGTCCACCAACTCAAGGAACTTAAGAAAAAGTTACGAATGAATATGCAGCTTGAGACTTTGTTGTTGTTATGTGCCTTGGAATTAGTTCAGACTAATAGTGACCCTTTATAGGGTTTCCAAGGCTGTAAACCTTTGCAGAAGCAGAAAGCCTCCTCTTTTTCCTGCAGAGGGCCTGGTGGACTTGACCAGCCAACCTTATGGTTGGCAATCCAGTGCTTATCCTACAGAGCCACTGCTCTCCCAACTTGAGATTTGAGACGATGGAAAATAATTTTACATAGATACAACAGACAGTCAGTGACATCATTTTGTACATCTGAGGCCTCACAGACATCCACAGAGTCTCAATCCACAGAAAAAGCATCTCTTGAAGACACTGGTGGAAACGGCAGGAGTCATTAACCAAAAGTCAGGCACAGTGCTGGGTGTGCTCCGATTCCACAAGGCCCTACTGATCACCTACACACAATGAGCAGGTAAGGGAGGCACACAACTTGTGGTTGAGTCTTCCAAGTTCAACAGAGACCAGCAAGTTAGCAAAGCTGGGGGTTCTGCACTTTGCCGTAGCCTCCTCCTTGGGAGCTTAACAATTATGGTGAAAGCTGAAAGCTACTGAAGAAATATCAGCTGTCTCTTCAATACACATTTAAAATAGAAGAGATTGTTCACCAAGCACAGGTGTTATGAATTGAATGTGCCCTCCCACCCCATAATATGTAAAAGTCTTAGCATGTGACCTTATTACAAAAGTGGGTTTTAGAAGATTTTAGCCAGCACGATGTCATAGTGCTCATCACCACCAATCTTATAAAAGAGGAGAAGGCAAAAGGAGGCAGCGAGATGAAAGACAGCCATGTGAGGAGAGAGGCATAGACTGCGTGGATCTCCAAGCCCAGAATGTCAAGAATCCGCCACCCCCAGAGCTGGGAGAGAAGCAAGGAACAGTTTCTTCCTCACAGCCTGCAGAAGGAGCCCAGGTGGCCGACACCCTGGTTCCCCACTGCCAGCCTCCAGGACTGCGAGACAGTACATTTCTGCTCTTACCAACCACCTGCCTAGTTGTACTTTGTTACAGGAGCCCTTGGAAATGAATACAACAGACAGACTGAATTATTGCTACGCTTACATGGCATACGACTGCCAACACTATTTTTGCAGAAACAGGGCCTGCCCTGACTGAAACGGAAGAGACTGCTTTTGAAAAGTTCATCTCTGTACATCGCTTCAGCATTCCTGCTTTTCTTTATGATTTCCCGCATCCCTCCAGACGATCCTATGCTGGTCCTTATTGATGCCATCTCTCAGGCAACAAAGTTCGAGATTCCCACCATCCCATCCCATCCCACCCCCTTTCACTGTGTGGCTGCTCTTGTCTCTTCTAAAAGAGATGAAAACATGAACTTTACGACCACTGTGTACCGTCACACAGACTGCACACTGCACAATACGAAGCAGTGCTCTTCAGCCGCTCCCTTTCCCTAGAAATGGTCTCCCTCTGACCCTGGATGTGGGCAGGCCACAATCTTACAACCACACTCAACAGTCTTGAGTCTGAAGAATGAATGAAGTGTTTTATTCATTCATTTCTTCATTCACTCATGCAAACAGTGGTAAATCATGAAGCACAATCTCTGTCCTTGGGGGATGGACAGTCTCAGCACTTGGACTATAATTGACACTGTAGCACAGCAGACTGGCCCTGGGGGCAAGAAGGCCCCCCCTGAGAACCTGCAGCAGGGGAGGAGGAGAGCAGGACTACTTACCACACTGGCATTAACCTTATGTCGGAAGCAAGTGATGTTCACCAGGTAAGGCCAATCATCTGGCTCCATTAGCACGCCAGCGGCGTGGGCGCAAGTGACGTGGAAGGAGGCTGGACAGCGGCCATAGGAACACTGGATGCAGGCTCCGGAGAGCTTCTTAACCCGATGTCTGCAGAATATGCACTTCTGGAGAGAGAAACAGACACGGCTGTCAAATCAGACTCTGCCACGCGGCTGGCTTCCACACTTCACTGACATGTGTTGTTGTTGTTGTTAAGTGCAGACCCATAGCGACCCTGTATAGGGTTTCTGAGGCACAGCTGGTGGATTTGAAATATAGCAACTAAGAAAAACCCAGTCAACCCATCTATTCACTCGAACCGCCAGTTCCGCAGTTAGTAGACCAGCACACACCATTTGCACCACCCAAGAATTTAGAATAGCTACTATGCTTTCTGTTGTTGGAAAGTGTCCACAAACTCCTTTAGAGTCAGAGTGACTCTGTATGACAGAGTAGGACTGCCCCAAAGGGTTTAATGGGGTCTCATCTTTATAGAAGCAGATGGCCAAGGTCTTTCACCCATGAAACTGCTAGGTGGGCTTGAACTACCAACCTTTCAGATAGGAGCTAAGTGCTTCACTGTTGTACCATGGGAGCTCCTTAGCTATTAGAGATAAAAGAACAGATTCTGTCAGCAGGGCCTGTACTCTAGTGGGTAGCCATGCTGTGATACTTTTTCCAAGTTTTCATTGTGAATTGAGTATTAGTTTATATGGGGGAACATCGGTTTTACACATCATCGTTTCATTGCTATGATTACAGTCTCCTCCGTGCATCACCATTCAACAGTATTTGCTTCTATTCCCTCTGTTTGTTTGTCTGTTTGGGGGGTGTACACAAAATACTGAGAAATATATAATCATTTAAACAACCAAAGGGCACATTCTGCAGGCATTCTGCTCACTTTTAAGGAAACAAGCTTGTTTTTAGGCACACACTCCAAGATGTACAATGTTTAAATACTTCTGTGGAGAGTAAGGCCAGCCCTTGGCCACAGGCTTCTCCAAGCACAGAGCTCAGGGGAAGGCCCCAAGGATGCTCCTGGAAGCACCTAGAACATCACAGAACGTGTGGTTTGCCTCAGACACAGAAGGCCTTTCTGGAGACAGAGTCAAGGTTTAGAGGACACACGCCAGCACTCAGAGGAGATCTTCAAAAACATCCAAATAGCATACAGATGTGCTGAGTTTTCCATTTACAAGGAAATGCAGAGGGTTCAATGGCCCAGCATGGAAACGGGGGTGGAGGGCTCAAGTGTTTAATAATCCAAATCCGAACTCTTTGTGACGGACACAAAACATAGGGCCTCTAAAAGTGAGAAAATTGAACTTGCCCCAAAGGGCATCACATTGTTGAATATCTCTAGCTAGCTAAGTGTCTAGGGATGAGGGACTGAAAATAAAAACAACAATAAAGATTACCACACTTCTAAAATTAAATTGCATAGAATTAGCCCTAAACATGATCAGTACATCTGTTCTGAGAGATGGAGAAAAACTCAAACAGTGTCACTAAAAGTAGGATTTGTGAACAAACACTTGAGGCAGGGGAAATGGTTGTACAACAACATTAGGGTCAGGTTTAGAAAACAGGACAAACTGGATGATTAAAATGCTGAACTTTTAATTTCTTTGTTGTTGTTGTTAAGTGCCATCGAGTCGGTTTCAACCCATAGCGACCCTGAACAGGGTTTCGGAGGCTGTATATCTTTACGGGAGCAGATCGCCTCATCTTTCTCCTGCGGAGCAGCTGGTAGTTTTGAACTGCGGACCTTGTGGTTCGCAACCTGATTCGTAACCACTACGCTACCAGAGCTCCAAAAAAGTCTGCAATATGATCAAAGTGCTGCCCAAATTATTCTTCTTTTATAGTACATTTTCTTTCCAGAAAAAAAAAAAGGTACTTAAACCCAATGCCTTTTAGGAGCTGTAATATTTTATCACAGACCTACAAAGTTCAATGTACACTTAACTTCTAACTCGTGTTTGTCCTCACATCTGATCAGTGACTCAGTCTTACACACACACTACCCCAATCTCGCTCTCCTATCTCCCTATCTATCTAGCCCTAATGCCTCTGCCTCTGCCCACAGGCCCTTGCTCAGCATAGCATCAGTCTCCAAGTGAGTCTCTCCATCTTTTATTTCATTTGATTGTGATATATCTTCCCCAAGACTGCCAGAGTGATCTTTCTAGAGCATAAATTCAGTGTCACCATGTCACTACCTGCTTAATGTCTTTCAATGGTTTCTCCTCATCTCCAAGACATTCAGGGGAAGTAGAAGGGGGAAAAAAAACAGATGGGAAGAAACAGGATGAAAGGAAAGAGCTTTTAAAAGACTGGAGGCTGTCTGCGCATTTACTTCTTACTACTCAGAATCAACTCAATGACAGTGAGTTTGGATTTTTTCGAAGATGGGTAAAATTTAAAATGACCTGACATGACAAATGTTGGTGCAGATGGGAGGAAACTGAAACCTTTGCCCACTGCGGTGAGAACACAAAATGGTACCACTACTTATGGGAATGTAAAATGGTGCCACTGCTGGTGGAAAGCAGTGTGGGAGTGCCGCCAAAAGCTAAATATCAAACCGCTGTATGACCCAGCAACTCCACTCCAAGGGATCTGCCCAAAAGACTTGGAAGCAAAAACTCAAAGAGACAAGTACCCCAGTATTCATTGCAGCACTATTTATAACCATCAAAAGCTTGAAACAACCTAAATGTCCATCAGTGGATGAATAGGGAAACAAAACACAGTGCATACATACAATGGAATACTACTCAGCTAGCAGGAGATACGAAGCCTGGATAGCTTGCTACAGTATGGAATGAGCTTGAAGACATTATGATGAATGAAAAAAGCCAATCACAAAAGGACAAATATTGTAGGACTTCACCTACATAAAAAAGACAAGAAAAGGCAAAGGTACTAAGACCAAACTTTATGAGTGTTGACACCTTAGTGTACTACGTACAACCAGGATCCTCATGGGATTTAGTTTCTTGGTTTGAAGGTGAAGGGTGATGGTTTCATGGGTTAGAGAGACGGAAACTTCATCTTCAGAAGTGTATAAACCAATATGGAGGATATATTGAGAGACAAACATTTTGATATTTTTGCTTAATAAAGATTCTATGCTTTGTTTCTTGACATTTAAAAAAATGCATGAAGAAATCATTTATTTTGCATGAAGAAGTCATTTATTTTGCATGAAGAAGCCATTTATTTTGCAAAATTCTATCAATCACCAGTAATGACCAATACATTTTTTAAATTCTCTCTCCAGCCCCAACTCATATTCTCTAATCGATCACACATGCAATCAAGATGTATTGATCATTACTGGTGAATGGAATGCAAAGGTTGGGATCAAAGAGAAAGGATCAGTAGATGGAAAATGTGGCCTTGGTGATAGAAATGATGCTGGAGATAGCATGTTAGAATTCTGCAAAATTAATGGTTTGTTCATTTCATGCACCTTCTTTAGACATCATAAGAGATGACTATATACATGGACCTCACCAGATAGAATACATAGAAATCAAATGGACTACATCTTTGGAAAGAGAAGATGGAAAAGCTCCATATCATCAGTCAAAACAAGGCCAGGGGCAGACTGTGGAACATCAACTGCTCATAAGCAAATTCATACTGAAGCTAAAGAAAATTAAAACAAGTCCA